CATAGTGGTAATATATTATTGCAAGGAGGTAATTGTTATATTACAGATTTAGGATTATGTGGACCAGTTGATGAAAAGTCATCAAATAAAATCTATGGAATTATATCATATGTTGCACCCGAGCTACTTAGAGGCAAAAATAATACAAAGAACACAAAAGAAACAGATATCTATAGTGTTGGGATGTTAATGTGGGAAATATTTGCAGGACATCCACCATTTGATGATAGAGCTCACAACCATCGTTTGATTTTTGATATATGTGAAGAAGGTTTACGACCACCAATATTACTTGAAATGCCTGATGATTATGTGCAAATGATGCAGAGGTGTTGGGATGTGGATCCATCTAAAAGACCAACTAGTAGAGAGCTGCTTGATTTTTCTGGAAACAAACTTGGAGAATTTATTAAAAATAAAGGTTTAAAAAATAATAGTAAGAATAATAATGGTTTAATAAAAAGATTATTCAAATTTTCTAAAAGCAAAGAACATGGAATTGATTTTAACAATGATGATAACAGCAGCAGCAGCAGCAGTGGTGGTAGTAATGCTTCACAACAAGCACACAAATCACATCCAGATGCATATCATACAAGTAGAATATTAGATGATGAGATCGCTAAATCAAAAAGCTTGAAAATTTATACAAGTCATGATAGTTCGTTAAATGATCTTGATTTTAATTCTTTTCTCTAAAATGTTAACAAAGGTAAATAAAAATTTCATTATAATTAATTGGAAATTACTATCTATTAAATTATTACTAACAATATTAATTAATCTAGTATTGTAGTAAAATAGTAAAAGAAAAGTGACTAATTTAATTTCCATTATAAATTTATTATCTTCTTTTTATTTATCTTTTTATTATCTTTATTTTGTTCTTATAATAATATTTCCTATAATAAATTTTCCAAGTTCTGTGATTCTTGTTAAATGGTGACATTACAAGATACCATTCCTCTTAATTAACAATTATGACCTAACTTCTGGGCTACTCTTGTCAGTTAATAATTCGGTGTTTGTCAATTAATTAGTTTACAAATTCCTTCTTTCTTCTTACATCTAGACGAATCTGTAGGCACACTTGATGGTCCCAGATAACTGTAATTAAATAAAGATGGCCTTTTGCAATGCTATAAGTTCCTTTTATTCACTTATGATCGATTTGTTTCAGTCGTTTGCTGACTGATTGCAAACTTGCTTTGGTTTACTTACAAAACAACTCAAGTAGCTTGTTTAATAGCCTTACATTTATGATTACAATAATACCACCAGTATTTCCAATTAACCTTTGGATGATACTTCATTGACACTCACTAATTAACCAACAACGACGTTAGCCCTAGCCTTGCTTGCTTGCTCACTAAAGCAAATAAACGTGTCTTTTTACCAAAACCCCACAATTGTTACCTTTTACCAAGGTACTAACTACGATTTAAATAAAGAAAATAAAGACAATGTTTTTATTTTTTGTTTTTATTTTTAAAAGTTATTAACGTTTAATTTTATTTAATAAAAATAATGATTCTAACACAGTTTTGTTTTATTAGAATGTCAATTATCTATTATTTTCCTCTACAGTTATGCTTTTTCAAGCAAAGACCAGAAGTTAACCTTGATGAAATTTTCGTTGTCCACTATAATAAGGATAAAGATAAAGATGAATCAATTAATTAGTCGACCCTGGAACATAAAGTACCGAATCCCTAATCGATGATGATTTTATCTACCCGATCATGTATGTATCACGTTATAAGTGTGAACTTGTATTCAGCAAAAGAAAAGCTTAGCTCCTTGGGAACAACTGATAAGATTGGGATACACGAGAAATATTAAAAAAAAGACCTTGCAATACACAAGTTTATTTTGTGTGCTTTTATATTTAAAACAATTTTACTTGCGTCATTTTTGACTTGATGGAAGCGAATTTAACGTAATAGTTTTACAACTTTGATAACATTTCGTCAAGCAACGTTACTTTCAACACCTTACCTGTTGGACTATTCCGTCAAATACAGAGGAGAAATATATATTAAAAAAAATGTATATTCAATAATATGTAAAGTTTTGCAATCAATCACATCAGGTGTATTTTTTATAAATAATGGTTTTTTTGTTGATCATTAATTTTCATTTTCTCTTAATCAAATCACAGTTTTCAAATCTTTCTTCGCATATCCTCTATTATAAAAAAATATGGGAACCGCAATTAGCGGCAATTCAATTTTCATATGCCGAACCGCAACCGCAACCGCTATTAAATTTTTATATGCCGCAATTAGTTGTAATTAATCGAGGAGTCATTTTTAGTCATAAACCAATGTAGAATTCTTTATGAACAATAATCAAATGGGATCTTCGTCACACGTGTGCATATTTGATGTCATAAACAGGCATTGTGTTCTAATTAAGAAATACTTCTATTACTATATATATATATATGCATATAAATAGAAAAAAAACTGCGAAAATCTATTTATGACAACAACAATAATGTTATACTTTTTTTTACATTATTGCCGCCACTTAATATGATAGTTTGACGCAGTAATCAATTGTTTTTTAAGTACTTGATACTAATTATACTAATACATATTTATTATATTATATAACTTTAAAAATTTCGTATAAATTCTCGTTAAAAAAAATTTTTACCTTAAACCATTTTTTTTTCTTGCAATCAATTATATCGAAAAAATTTTAAATTTTAAATATTAAAAAATGCAAGAATCTACTACCACCAATTACGAGATAGCAAAAAGACCAACCGACCGTTTGAAAACCGTAAATACTGTAAAACTTCAGTTAAACTTTTATAGAGTTATTATTAAGGTAATAAATTCCTTATAAATAAACAGAATATTTTATTTATCATTAATTATTTTTTCCCCTTCGTACTCACTCCTTCACTTTTCGCTACGCTTTCATTACGCTTTCGAAAATAAATAGAAAAAAGTTACAATTCATTATTACTCGTTTGACGTATTTGAAACAACTAGAAAACCGGCGGGCAAAAAGGCTTCGAGAAAAGTCTACGAGTATATTAGGGCAAATGAATTTTTTGGAAGTAATATTATATCGTTTTATGATGGCGGGCCAATTTACTCTACTCGACAATTTGAATTTGATCACGAAGATAAAGACCTCATTGTAAGTATAATGGTAGTAATAATAAGTGTTTATTAAATGGATAATGGATTTTTCTGATGCATTATAATAAATATTTAGGTCAATCTTCCCGCTGAAGTTGAAGGAGGAAGAAATAAAAGTTATCGAGTGAAAATAAGATATCAAGGAGAAACTGATTTAGGAGAAATTGTGGATTTCACTTCTTTAAATTCAAATACAAAATGGAATAGCAAAGTTCAATCCAGCCTTTCATTATTGAACGCAGCTCTAAATTATATGCCCAAATCAATATATTTATCACAAGGAAGAAGATCAATCTATCCTGATTTACCACAATTTGAAGGGGTAAAAATTCCTGGTGGATTCTTGTTGAAGACAGGAATTCAACAAGCTCTTAGACCTGGATGGAGTAAATAAATACTTGAAAATTATTTGTGCTACTCATTTTTAATCATATCAACATTATACTTATGCATACATATATTACATTATAGATGGTTTGGTAGTAAATATCGATAGAAGTTCAGTAATTTTTTATCTTCCGGGTCCACTAATTAAAACCATACCAGAAGTGATTTTCAAAGTTACTAAACGTTTAAAAACACCAAATGAATTAAAGAGTGGCCTAAACCCATATGAATTCCGTTGTCTTGAACATTATCTTAAAGGTGTAAAATTGGAAATCACATCATACGGAAGACATAGAACAATCACTGCCAATAAATTATCACAAGATAATGCTGCCAGGCTAAAAATTAATAGAAATGATCAAAATTCTCAAACTATTCAGCAATATTTTAAAGCTCGGTGGGGTTATGATTTACAATATCCCTGTTTACCTTGTATTGGTGTATACAATCAACGTGATAGAAGATATGATTATTTTCCAATTGAAGTTTGTGAAATTGTTAAAGGTACAATTTATTAGATTGCTCAATTTATTATTATTAAAATTATTAAAGATGTAATAATTCTTTTTCTCTCTGCAATTATTATGACTATTTAAAGATCAAAAATTCGAAGAAAAAGATTGGAAACCACTTCCTGAAGATACACGAAGAGAAGTTGTTCGTAAAACATGCTTTAAACCAATAGATACATTTAAATATATACAATCTGCAACAAATGACGTTTATAAGCACAATGAGGATGAAATTTTGAAATCGTTAGGAATTGAAGTAGAGAAGAATTTCATTAAAGGTGACTTTAATATTATGCCTGGGCCAAAACTTCATACTGCTGACAATCCAAAAACTATTGTAGAAAATCGTTGGAATACTGAAAGATTCCTAGATGTAAGTTTACTTCAGTTATGATATTTAATTTACAATAATTCATTTATAATAATGATTCATTTTAAATAATTTTTACTATTTTTTTTTTTTTTAAAGGCAAAAGAAGTCATTAATTGGTCAGTTATAGTATTTGATAGAAATGTACAAGATAAAACAATAAAAGATGCTATGGAGTTATTAAAAAGTACATTAATGGGAAAAGGAATGGTAAAGATTATTTACTATCATAATAATTATTATGATTATTATGATATTGTGCATTAAAAAATTTTCTAATAATTTAATTCATCCAAATCATTTAGAAAGTTCCTCATTTACCAACAATCGAGTATGAAAATCCACAAGAAGACATTAATGAGGTAGGAATTAAATATATATAAATGTATATATATATATATACTTGGAAATAAATGAATAAATATATAAATTATAATGTTCAATATATAGGCTATAACAAGAGCTTGTGAAAGAGCAAGATTTAATAGAAAAAGAAAACCAGATTTAATCATCTGCATAATTTCAAAAAATGCGGGAAATCCAAATATTTATGGTGATATTAAAAGATGCGAAGCTGGATTAGGTGTTCTAACTCAATGTATCTTGTCTAATAACATTAATCCAAGATTTCAAAATAAATGGCAAAGCACTTTTAATAATTTGGCATTGAAGATTAATGGGAAATTAGGTGGTGAAAATGCTCGATTGAGTGCCGGTGAACTTGATACGATTACAAAAGGACAAGTAAGAATTTTTTTTTTTACAAAAATAAATTTGAATGATTATAATTTATAATTTATTTATTTAATATTTACGTATTCGATTGTTTGGTTATATAGCATATTATGGTTATGGGCATGGATGTTTTTCATCCAGGAAGATCGGAAAAAGATAGACCAAGTGTTACTGGTGTCTGTGCATCTACAAACAATCATCTAACAAAATATGCAGCACGTTCCTCTGTAAATAGCAAGATTAGAAATGAAACTATCGAGAATCTTCAACAAATGACTGTAGAGTTGTTGGAGGTATATCGTAGCGAAAACAATCGATTACCAGATCATATAATAGTATATAGAGATGGTGTTTCCGAAACTCATTTTCAAAATGTTAAAGACGAAGAAATTACAAAATTAAAAGTTGCATTCGATATTGTTTATTCTAAATACAATTGTGAATTACCAAAATTAACATTTGTAATTGTACAAAAAAGACACCATACCAAGTAATTATCATTCATTAAGTAATATCTTTGAGCATATTAATATATATTTTATGAAATTAATTATTATCATCATCATCATCATCATTATTACACATTAGGTCTCTGGCATTGGATAATAACAGTAGGAAATGTGACCGTAATCAAAATTGTTTACCAGGAACTGTTATTGATAAAGAAATTGTTGTTCCACAAAATTTTGAGTTTTGTAAGTTTTATTATTATTATAATTAATCAATTGATCGAATATTATTTAATAAATTGATATGTAATTAACAAATTTTTAATTAACATAAACAGTTTTGTACTCACATTTGAGTCCTCTTGGAACTTCTAAACCAGCTCATTATTTTGTAATATTAAATGAAGGAAATTTCTCATCTACAGAAATGTATCATTTTACTTATAGATTATGTTTCTTGTCTTCAAGGTTTGTAACTAAAAAAAAAATACTATTCTATTTATTAAAAAAAAAAATCGTCATTTTCTCACCTTTGAATTGAATTTTCCTTAATTAGATGCAATCTTTCCGTGTCGCATGTAATTCCTGTCTATTACGCTCATCATTTAGTCAATAAAGCAAAGCATCTTGAAACATCATGGAATGACAACAGTTCTAGTTCAAGTCGTGGTAGCAGTCGTAGTGGTGTAAATAATAGAATTACAAGTACAAATTGTATAGTTATTCATGATTTGCTTAAAAACACACAACACTTTATTTAAGAAAGAATTAGATTCTGGGAAACTTTTTGGAAATTTTGGACTTTTGGATTTTAAACTTATTAGACTTTTGAATTTTTTTTTTTTTATTTATACATTTTTACATATACATTTTTACAATTTACAATTTTTCATATTATTTCATTCATATATTTTTTATCCATATATACATACATTTAAACTTATTCATGTATTATCAATCATTATGCATTTATTTATCCATCATAGATTTATCACGAATTAGTTTTATTTATTATGTTTAAATATATAATTATTATTATTATTATTATTATTAATATTATTATTATCAGTCACGTATTTCTTGTTGGTTGGTAATGTTCACTGTTTAGATTTTTTAACCAGTCAAATGGCAACCAACCTGGTTGACACCAAACTCTAATTTGTATTTTTAAGTCAATTACTGACATTAAAAATCGTGGAACTTAAAAATAAAAGCCCTCCAATTTATTGTTAAGCCAATAATAACAAAGACTTGTGACCAACAACATATCAAAACACGCCATCATTATTATAACAAAAGATTGTATAATGACTTTTCTTCAAACAAAAACTAACGTGATAAAAAAATTCATTCAATAGTTTTAATCAAGCATTACGATTATAATAAATCTTCAGAAAGTACCATTGATTCATACATATTGATTTTATGTATCTAATAAACAATAAATAATGAAACAACTATTTATAAATAAATAATAAAGAAATATATGACTAAAATAAATAATAATTACCTTCTTCTGTTGTAATATTTTCCTTAACTACAACTAATTAAAACAAATAATAAAATATTATCAATTATAATAAAAATCTACAGGCCAACAAACTAAATAAATAAAATTAAAATATCAATTATATACATTAGATATTATATATAGCCCCTTGATGTTGTTCTTCTTTGACCATTTCATCAGTATCTTTCATCAGTATCGTTGATTGCAACTTCTTCAATTTTTTTCAATGTCTTTTCCTTTATCATCATCACCGTTATTGCTAGAATCTAATAGTAATCAATTAAAAATAAATAACCCATTAATGAAAATTAATAATAAAAATTTTTAAATAATTTGTAATTACCTTCTTTATTATTGTCGTTGTTAAAAAGTTTATTGGGGAACGTTGAAATGTCAAAATCATTTATGTTTAATGAAGTATTATAACGATTATAACCTTTTAATTCTTTTGATTTAGCAATGTCATCATCTAATATTCTACTTGAATGATATGCCAATGGATGAGGTTTTTGTCTTGATGGTGTACCAATGTTATTAGGGTCACCGGTAGCAGGAATCAAAGTTTCATTAAATAAATCTTCATTTTCATGAACTTTTTTTGAAAGCGCGTTAGAAAAATTGAGAAGCTCATTAATAGTTGGTCTTTTTGTTGAATCACCATCCCAACATTTTTGCATCAATTCTGCATATTCTTTTGGCATTCCTGGTATTATTGGTGGTCTTAGTCCCTCGCATATTTTTAAAATTAAATCAGAATCATGAGCCCTGTCATTGAATGGTGGACATCCTGCAAATATTTCCCACATCAACATCCCGACACTATAGATATCTGATTCCTTTGTATTTTTGTTTCCTTGAAAAAGCTCGGGTGCAATATATGGCATGATTCCATAAATTTTATTTGATGATCCATCATCATCAACTGGACCACATAATCCTAAATCTGTAATAAAGCAACCACCTCCTTCTACTAGTATATTTCCACTATGTAGATCACAATGTATTAAATCTTTTTCGTGTATATAATGTAATGAAAAACATAAATAATAAAAGATCGTGATTCTATCTTTTAACATTAATTTTGAATGATTTTTTTGTAAATGATTTCTTAAATTTCCTCCTTGAATATATAATATAACCATTGCATAATTTCCATCATCTGGAAATTTTGTTATGCCAAAGCATTGAATGATCAGATGTGATTTAATTCTACAATAATTCAATGCCTGAAATTACACATAAATATTAATCAATTAATTTAATATGATATATATACATAATTTTAAAAAATTATTACAGACCTCATCAAAAAATTTTTTTCCAGCTTCTTTTGAATTATTCAAACTTTTTAAAGCTACCAAATATTTTCCTCTATAGATGAATTCTTCTTCGTCTTCATCATACTCAACAATAGGTCCTCTTTTCCATGTTGCCATATAAATATCACCAAATCCTCCATTTGTCAAGTATTTAACGTTTTCAAATTGATCAAACGGGATCCATTCTAAAATCTGAGATGGAAGAGCTGAAATTTTTTGACATTTTTGAATAAAATCATCAACGATTTTATTTTCAGAAGTCCAAGCGTCGAAACGTTTTTGTAGGTGTAGGCTTATACAGCTTTCACAAAATCTTTCTGAATATTTTGTAGCATTACATTTTTTACATTCTATTGGTTTACCACTCGTGTTAATTGCTTTAATTAATTCAATATCATAGATATATTTTTCCCTGGAATATTCTTTTTCATTTTCTGCAAGTTCTCTGTTTTCATTTATTAATGATAAAAATGTAGACTTTCGAATCTCATCAAATGATGAATTTAATGAACCATTACTATTGATATCAGTTGCGATTGAAATGGCATTATAATATATTTCATTATAAATTTTATAAACAGAATCTTCTCTTTCTGGTGGTAATAATTCATGAAATGTCATTTTTTCAGAAGTTTCACGGGAACTATGGTGAACCACTAATTTCTGCTCCACAACACCGCCAAAAAAGTTGAAGTCACGTGATTTTGTATAAAACGATAATTTTATATTTCTACGAGATTTATATATACCTTTGGCTTCAAAACTACAATTTGGTGTTTACATTTCCATTTTGGAGCATATAAGACCGATAAAAGGTTGCGGGACTAGGTATCTTGTACTATAGGTAAATTATTTCACGTGTAGAGAGTATTTGCATTATAATATAAAATACATATAAAAATTGAATTGCGGTTGCGGCATCTCAACTTCAAAATATCGTTAGCCAATTGTTAAATCATTAAATAACAACGACAATAACAACTAAATTGTTTTATTAAATTAATTAGATGTATTGATTTAACGCAAATAAAAATCTCGTTCGTAATTTTGCGTAATTGATAAAAAAGGGTGTACATTTGATTGCAAAAAACATTCGAAATACCCATGTGAACAATTAACCAGAATGCATTGAATGTACTCTCAAGAATTTTGGTCGTTCAGAAAAAATATTCTTATATTTATCGGAATTTCTCTCTCCATTACTTTTACTATTACTATTTATATTATTTATTATTATTCACGTAAAGGCAAAATTTCCATTCATATTTTGCATAAAAATTAACCGAGATTTGTATAAAAACAGTTTGTAAGTAACGAAATTTTGAGAGGAAAGAAACTATTCAAGTATCACTTTATATTTTTATCTATTTATTTGTAGATTTCTAAACGGTTCATACAACCAAATAACACTTATTTTTGGGAAAATATTTTTTAATCAAAACATTTACATGTCCATGAGTTTAATTTTTACACAATATTTTTGTCAAGTTTTCAAAATTGATAAACTTGTCTTAAGAGTTCATGGAGTTCATGAATTAAGTAAAGCAACTGTTTAATCGAAGGTTTGATTTTATGTTAATTATGTTAGTTTACGTCTTTCTGTAGTAGAGTAATTAACTTGTCAAAAGTATATCCATGAATAAAGTGAGCTAATATTTAAACAACAATTACGAACTTTCATTATCAGTGTGATATTAATAATATTATATTCAAAGGTCATGCTTTGCTACCGGAAGCTGGAAAAAACCTGACAGCATTCTCCGAGTTTAATTGTGCAGAAGTAACATTATATTGTGAAGAATACAAGTGTTATTTCACTTGTTGTATACGATTGCTACATAAATTTAATATACCTTGTACAATGCATTTGATAAAAATTTTACGTGGAATGAATTTTTTTCTCTTTAGGTTTCCATCATCTAATTGTTATCATTAAACGAGAAACATTGGCTCAATAATATGTTTTGTTCCAAAAAAACAGTTTAAACAAAAAAGAAATCCATGGAAACTTTTTCAAGTACATGAAATATTTTGGAACCAAAATATTATTGGCAAACGATTTAACGAGTATGAATTATTAAATTTTTAGATTTTTTTTTAGAAAGAAAATCAAAAGGATTTTGGTTAAGATACTGAAGTTAACAATGATGAAATATAGTAATCTTGGAATTAAAATAATTCAACAAATTGATTAAACTTTTCGATAAACTTTAAATTTGTTTTCGGCAAGCCATTAATAATAAATGTTTTGGGTATGTTATTGTTTATCAAAGCGGCTTTTAAACAAACTGTGGCTAATGCAATGAGTGATGATGATTGGATAATTATTAATAAATTCGTGCTTGCAATAGAAAAAGTACGGTGTGTTTATTTTATAATTGATTAGTAATTAAAAGCTTTCTTAATTTTAAAGAACTAAAGAAACCAGCGAATTCTTTATAAAGTAATTAAACTTTGAATAATAATTATTTTCAAAAGGTAATGATAATTTGTGTGACCGATTTGTCTAAAAATAATTTTGTGGAATCCTTACAAATATGCAAATTTTTTGGTACGTTTACAAAGTAATAAATACCAAGGTTCGCCAGCGTAGAAAAAATTCAATTCAAAAATCAAAACTTCAAAGCAAATTAAAAAATAAACAAACCATAATTTATCAAACAAATAAACCTTTAACAAAAATGAATAACTTTGACAATTCTTCTAATCAAAGAACCGTTTTTTTCATTGATACTAGTAATCCGGAAGTAAACCCAACCATCTCTGCTAGTAGCAGCCATCCATTCATCAAACCACCCTTCCCACCTGTGATCGATGCTCGCAAATTGGTCATTAAACAAAACCAATGGTAAATTTCCTACAAGATCTCCTAACGCTTTCATCATTTATCGTAAAGCTTTTCTGGGTACAGTACAAGCTGATGGCTACAAATTACCAATGACCGTTATTTCAACAATGGTTTCCAAATCTTGGGAAAATGAGCCTCAATATGTTAAAGATGAATATAAAAAACTTGCAAAGGAAGCATTTGATTGTCTCAATGAGATGAATCCAAAACCAACCAAACCTAATAAAAGGGAACGTTGGAATTTCGTTTCTTTTGAGCAAAAAAATAAATCTCCCAAACCTAAAAACGTTAAACAACCTGGAAATAAAAATAGAAATACAAATAAAAATAAAAATGGAGCCATAAAATCTAAACCACTCGCTACTATTATTGACAATAACGATAACGATAATAATAATAATAACATTGCTAATGCAATTGACTCATTAACCTTTGATAATTTCGATAATTTCAACAACAACAACAACAACAACAACAATACTCCATTATTATCATTTTTACCTCTCTCAACTTCTTCAACAAATTCTTCGCCTGACGTTTCAACAAATTTTGATTTATTTTTCAACAACATTGGTAATGATCTTATTCAAAATATGTTAAACTCGTCATCTTTCACACCAAATATTAATAATTCTGGGGATGTTTTAAATTCTTTCGGTCAAAAAGATATGCTATTATCTACTACCACAACAAATGATTATCAATCTTCTTCTAGTAGCAGTAGTTCACCTGATATTGATAATCTATACGAGCAACGAAATTTTGTAAATTTAATCAATTCTTTCGTTCAACCACCATCATCTTCACTTTCATCTTTAGAACTGAAAATCTTTTCAGACGTTAATAATAATATCGATAATATAGATGAGTTTCAACAATTTATAAAGATTTATCAACAACAAAATGATTTTACAAATTCATCGTTTGAACTTGGAATTTCATGTTATGATAATAATAATAATTTCGACAATATTAATATTAATGATGATGATTTGTTATTTATAAATCAAGATTTATTTTTAAATAATAATAACGACTTATTTTATGATTCAACAAAAAATTTTAAAAAAAACAATTAAGAACAATTTATTTTAAGATTTAAAATTAAAGAAATTTTTGTAAATATTATAAGTTTTCTAAGAAACAATTTATGATTATGGTTAATTAAAAATGTATATACTATATAGATTTAGAGTAGATTATTTAAGATTTTCTCTCTCTTCTAATATTTTTTTATTTCCTCTCTTACGGAAGATTGATAATACAAGATGTAAATATTATATAATAATTAATAAAAAATTATATATTTATCACGTGTTCAAGTAATATTTTATCCTATTACTATATAAATAAACTGTAAGAATATAAAACTATTATCCTACGACAATTGTCCCATATCTCCCTCTAAATCATTCAATATAAAAAATTTGCTTGGAATTATCTGTGAAGTTTAAAATTGACATGCATGAGGCTCTCGTTAATTTTTTTGTATTATTAATTTTCATTCATTACATTTGATATTAAACAGTCATAATTTTAACATTCCCTCGCTTATTTGTAAGGAGAATAAACTTAAATTTAACTTTCAATACAATTTCTTTGGGAACATTTGTATAATACGATTCATTACTCGATTTATTACTTAGAGTAATGAACTTTTTTAATACAAGAAAGTTTTATCATTCTGATGACATTAAATTGGTTAATGATACTCATCCATCAGGCTCAAAATCCTCAATATTGTTCTTTATATGATATATTGATCAATCACAATTTGAACTATTGAGGTCATCAAATTACTTTTAATCTCCGATTGTTTTATTCACATACTTAAATTTGCTGTATAAGTAATTATAATCTTCAACCCATCCGTCCTCCTTGATCAACTTTGCCATCTTCTCATGTTCCGCAAATGGCACATTATCCTTGACTATATAAGGCGAAGATGGTTCAACTGTTGTAAATACGTGGGCCTTGTTATGTAGCTTTGAGCGTAACTTGACCTAAAGAACATTTTAAATTTGCCAAAACTATTGAAGTAAGAGACAAATTGCAGCTTACTGGAATCAACACCATTATAAAGAACACAATGTCTGGACCGGCACAGTCATCAGGAATGAAAAAGAGGACATTACATTCTCTCTTAGAAGCTGACAAAAGAAAATCATTTATTTTTAAAATTTTATAAGATAATTATTTTTTGATACAAAAAATCGGTTTAATATTTAACATTAAAGAAAATCATAACCAATGCAATAATTTCTTTTGTCTGTTTTAAATGAAAAATAGCGTATCCACCATGTCTGTTATTTAGGAAGTGTTGTAGTATATAGAATATATCATCAAAAATCCCTATTTCAAATTTATTTATTTATTTATTTATTTATTTTCCTCTCGGTGCCCTGCTACTAGTTTAAAATTCTTTGGAGTAGTTTCTCAAGTAATTAGTTACTTGAACTTGAAAAATATCATCACATTCAACAAAACAAATGATGAATACGTAAAGAATTTCATAAAGATCTTTTATACTTGGCTTTATAGATTATTTATTTTTAATAGAATCATTCTCACACCTTGTTTTTTTTTATATCAAAAATTAAAATAGAAGCTAATAAACAGATAAAAAATATTAAACATGCTAACATTAATCAATGAATATATTAACAATGCATAAGCATGTCACCATTCTATATATATTTCGTATAATAGATTTAAGCATGTGGGTATGTAAAATTGATTCACAAAAAATATTTAAATCTTAAAGACATCTTACACTATTAAACAACCCATTAAAATTTACTTTGTGTTCATTTAACACGTTCATCATACATCACTATACCTTCTTTTTTTCCAGCAGACTGACTCATTTAGAACGAGTTATATTAATTTCTTTGAATATTTGAATATCCAATTTCATTATTATCAAGTGTTTCGTTTTCTTAAGGAAGAATTCCAGTTTTCTTCCAACAATTGATAATGGTAGTTGGTAACGATGTAGTATGGATAATGATTATTTTTTTTAGTGTTTCCTATAATGCTCCTGTAATATATGAATATTGATATTAGTTGAAATACATAAGAGATTTGATTTTTTAAAAGTGGTTTTTTTACTCGCGTACACAAATGTTGACGACTGTGTTTTTGATAGTATATTCTTGGAGCTTTGCACCCAGTCAAAGTTCACACAGAAAGAAATTCTCATCAGACAAATCTTTGATCCGTTGCGGTGCAATTAATAGTAGTAGTCTACAAATAAACAACTATATATTGACAAATAAACCTTTTTTCTTGATATTCTGTCAAAGCCTAAAAGGATTACGAATTAATAATAATATCATTATTGGCGAATTATCACATTACTGTCCTGGTTATTATTGCTCAAATATTAATATATTAAAGATGTCAATTTACAATAGTTACTATCATTGTACTATAGAATAGTTTTTGAACAATAGAATCGTGCATTAATTGATTTACTCTTGGTGTAATAAATCAATCAACTACGAAACAATTTGGTGGTAATTTGATCAATCCATAATTTGTGATCTTTGTTAGCTTAGGTGCTGCCTTTGGTTGCTTTCAGTACATCTCAAGCCTTGATGGAATCTGGTATAATCAGTTTCTGGTAGCCTTGGAAGAACTTTAACATAAATAATTTTCCAATTATGAAGGAAAAGGTGGATGTGTTTTATTTTAGTACGTTCTTTTTAAAAAACTAGACATCTACGGAGTGGCAAGCGAAAATATAAGCGATTAAATTCTTGACAAGAACAACAATCAGGAGTTCAATAATAATTGAGATGAGTCTATCTATATAGGACTTTGAATTGGTTATAATTATTATTTTTTAAAATCAAGGGGCCTGAAAACAGTGAGGATAATACAAACTTTTAATTGAATTCGACGAAATCAAATACTTTAATGAAACAAGGGAAAAATGAAACTTGCATTTGGATTTACTTTTTTTGTTTTTATTCCAGTCTAGCGCACTCTCATTTATACTATATTCAATATTTTTACTGTAGGAGAAATTAAAGGAATTCGAAATACTAAGGTCTGTTAAAAAGAAGATTTTAATATCCCACAAGATTAGGAATGTGAAAATTATGAAGAAAAACAATCAAGCATCTATAATATTAATATGTTAAAACAAAAGAAATTAGGCTTGTTGATATTATTGAAGGCTAATAATAATTTTTGATCTGCAAATAAATACCACAAAAAAAGAAAATTTGAAAAAAAATAAATATTAAAATGTCCTTCGAAAATTTATTAACACCAGACAGGAGTGAACTAGCACGTAAAAGTTGTAATGAAATGAATAATATTGCTTATTCTGCTTTTCCAACTATTTCTAATTCTGACAGAGAAAATATAAAAAGTTATTTTTTACAATTAGTCAATGAAAACAAAGAACTATTAGAAAATGAAAAGGAATTTTGTAGAGAAAATTTTATTTATAACTTTGAATTAACGAATGCAACTCATAAATATGGTGGACCAAGAGAGTGCAATAATTGTAAAACAACAAGATACTCTGATAAATATTGTGAAAAGTGTATTAGTCTACACTTACAGAGCCTTTTCAGTACTTGGACATCTGGAAATAAGATAATTGATAGTTTTATTCAAGAATGTCAGCAGCTTTCATCTCTTCCAGGTAGAATTATAGAATGGGTACCTTATGAGCAATTTTATGACATAGAAAAATTAACTGAAGGTGGATTCAGTTCTATTTATACTGCTGGATGGACAAAAGGAAGAATAGTTGATTATGATGAAAATAAAAAGGAGTTTAGTTATTTTGGAGCTCAGTCTATAGTATTAAAATCATTAAATAATTCAAGTAATCCAGGAAAACCTTTTTTTGATGAGGTAATTGATCTTATTTAAAATAAAATAAAATAATCCATTTATATAAATTAATTTATTTATATGATCAATTTCAGGCATTGAATTATTGTAAGATTAAATCAACCTCAATTGTTCGTTGTCATGGTATAACTAAATTCCCAGAAAATGGAAATTATGCAATAGTGCTTAATTATCTGCAAAATGGAAATTTAAGAGATTATATACAAAAAAATTATTATAATTTAACATTAAAAGATAGAATTAATATTTTTAGAGGTTTATGTGAAGCATTATATTGGATTCATGAAAAAGATTTAATTCATTGTGATTTACATAGTGGTAATATATTATTGCAAGGAGGTGCTTGTTATATCACAGATTTTGGATTATGTGGACCAGTTGATGAAAAATCATCAAATAAAATTTATGGGATTGTATCATATATTGCACCAGAACTATTTAAAGGTAAAAAACACACAAAAGAAACAGATATTTATAGTGTTGGGATGTTAATGTGGGAAATATTTGCAGGTCATTCACCATTTGATGATAAAGCTCATAATTACGACTTAATGTTTAATATATGTGCAGGTTTACGACCACCAATATTATCAGGAATGCCTGATGATTATGCACAAATGATGAAAAGGTGTTGGGATGTGGACCCAGCCAAGAGACCACCTATTGGTGAGCTTTTGGAATTTGCTAATAATCAACAAAAAAAAATTATCAATAATAATCATAATAATAATAGTATTAGTAATAGTAGTGGTGATTCACAACAAGTACACAAATCACATCCATTAGCATATCACACAAGTAGAATATTAAATGATGAATTTGCTAAATTGAATTTAAGTAATGATAGCTTATTAAATTATGAAATATAATTTTAATGAGGCATTAAATTAATTGAAGTTATTAATTTAAATATGATTATTTATTAATTAATTATAATTATAATGATAATAATAAGTAGTTGATAAGGTTAAAGTTGGGGAATTGGATGAATTATTGATGGGTAGATAATTAATTATTTTCACCATTTAATTATCTTTTATATTTATTATTTAATTTTTTTTATTATTTCTAAAAGTTTAAAAATAAATTTGACTAATTTCTCCAATTCAGAAGAATCACACATTTTTACGATTGAATAATACATAATTTTCTTGATGTCAAAAATCAAATGTTAAATTCAAAATGAACAATACTACATTTCATTTTTGAAACATTTTCTTGAAGTTGATTGTATTTTTGAAAGATGAGATAATGTTTTGACTGAATTCGAAATTAAATATTTTAAAAGATCCATTTAACCAAATGAAACAAGGAAAAATGAACTCTCGATCTGGAAAATGCGTTACATTTTCTTTGTTTTTAACCCAGTAATTTATTCAATATTTTTTAGAAGGCTAATAATTAATGTGTCAGATATTAATTTTACTTGAATAATATTAAAATGTCACCATACTTTAGAAGTGGATTAATACGTAAAAGGTTTAATGAAATTGCTCATTCTGATTTTCCAACTAATTCTGACAATGAAAATAGTAAAAGTTTGTTTTTTTCCATTTAGTCAAAGAAAACCAAGAACTATCAGAAAATGAAAAGGAATATTGTAGAGAAAAGTCTATCTATAACATTGAATTAATGAATGCAATTAATAAATATGGCGAACCAAGAGAATGCAATAATTGCAAACAACAGCAAGATATTCTGACAAATATCGTGAAAAGTGTATTAATATACACTTACAGAGCCTTTTCAGTACTTGGACATCTGGCAATGAGATAATTGATAGTTTTATTCAAAAATGTCGGCAGTTTTCATTCATATCTTCCATAGAATGGATACATTAAACACTCTTTTCCAATACAATATTCCAATGTTTGTTAATTTAAGACTCAGCTGTTTATATAAACAAGCAATGATATTTTACCTCCTATTGCATATATTAAATTTGGTTTTTTTTTGTTATTATTTATGACTTAGCGAAACATGGGGAAAGTTTAGCTTATTAAAGATTCCTTGCAAGAACTATCAGCCCAGCAAGGCAATGTAGATATTTACGTCATTCACATCTCCATGGAGTTTCTTCTCCATGTAAAATTTCTCTTTCGGTTGCAACATGATGGAATCCATGGTTTGAAATGGTTGATTATACAAGAAGGCACCTATCATATTGGAATTAGGATGAGTTAACTAAAGATCAATCAGATGACACATGCATTCATTTTATTTCTATCCGTGCCAAACAATTTAGTTAATATTAAGATGCAAGTTGTTGTTCCACTTGTAGAAAGTCATAAAAAGCAATTATCTGAACCGAACTAACCAAAACTTTTCACATCTTATTGTCCCAGCAATTCATTAAATAACACGATCCAAAAAACGGTATTAAAAAAAAATCTGCCTTTTCTGCATCCTCTGTCACATATAAATCTCTAATTTTGCCTGGTTTAAGAAGTTTTTCATAAAGTACGACTTCTGAATTATAATTGAATAAAGTGAGCTAATATTTAAACAACAATTACGAACTTTCATTATCAGTGTGATATTAATAATATTATATTCAAAGGTCATGCTTTGCTACCGGAAGCTGGAAAAAACCTGACAGCATTCTCCGAGTTTAATTGTGCAGAAGTAACATTATATTGTGAAGAATACAAGTGTTATTTCACTTGTATGATATGCATCTGAATGTGATTTATGTGCTTGTTGAGAAACACTACCATCATTATTAAAATTGATTTCATGTTTTTTGATTTTAGAAAATTTGAGTAATCTTTTTATCAGACTATTATTATTTTTCAAACTTTTATTTTTATTAATAATTAAGTTAAGTTTGTTTTCAGAAAAATCATAAAGCTCTCTACTAGTTGGTCTTTTTGATGGATCCACATCCCAACACTTCTGCATCATTTGCACATAATCATCAGGCCTTCCAGGTAATATTGGTGGTCGTAAACCTTCACATATATCAAAAATCAAACGATGATTGTGAGCTCTATTATCAAATGGTGGATGACCTGCAAATATTTCCCACATT